AGCCCTAAACCACCCCAAAACCACTTAACTGCAGCTGTCGTTCCCCAAAAACGGCCACGAATTCTGCCATTAATGGCCAAAATCGGCTGGTTAAGGCCACTCAGCCCCAAAATCGGCCAATTTCAGCCATTAATGGCCGAATTCGTGGCCGTTTTAGGGAAGGAGGGTTGCAATTGGGTGGTTTTAGGGCGGATTAGGGCTGCGAAAAAAGGAGGGGGAGGGTTCAGGTGGGTCGGGTAAAGGAGGGGGAGGGGATGTGCCGGCGTCTGGCCTGCGACTGGGTTGGGTGAAGGTGGCAGTGGTGGGGCTGGGGTGGCTGGGTAGATTTAGGAATTTAATTGTTTTTAAAAAAAAATTTCTTTTTTTGTAAATTTTTATTTTTCTAAAACAAATAAAATGGTGACACGTGTCACTGCGGACCCCACTTAACGGGTTTTTTGGACGGACACTGTTAAGTGGTGGTAAAATCCAATTTTTAAAAATTTTTCTCATGTTAGAATAATTTTTTTTTGGGTGTTAAAAACCATTTTCGAGTTTTTTTTTTTTGGTGTTAAAATCCAAAATTTCTTAAAGAAAACCTAGAGAAGATAAACTTTAATAACAAGAAGATAAACTTGTATTTCGATTATTTTATCATTACTAGGGATTCTAACGCGCGCGATGCTCGCGATATAGTTAGGCCTTTGAGAAGAATTATTATCGATCTTATGCTCTATGTCAGTTTGTGTAATATTTTGTCAAAACTATTTGCAAATAGACGATAAATAATGTGTTGGATGTTGTGTAGTTGTGCAATGTTCTAAACTTTAGTTGAACTACTTTGGTTTAGTGATTAAACGGTAAAAAAATATGGAGTTCTATGTAAAAATATAAATGTCTAATAAATTCTAAATAGGAAAATTAAAACAAAAAAATATAGAATTAAAGATGAATTTAAACATAACTTTTTAAATATAAATTTTTAAATTAATTTAGGGAATTCAAGAGACAATTATAAGACTTTTGAAAATAAATGGGGGCTAATATGTAAAAGAGCATTTTTAGGGATATATATATCCATGCTCATAAGAGTTTTTTTAAAAACTTTTTATAAGGTAGGGAAAATGAACTAACATTGTTTATATTTCCATACACTACATCCGTGACAAATTATGTGTAACAATTAGGTATTTTTTGTGGGATATTCAAAATTTAATTGTTACACCATAAAGTACAACCAAGGTAGTATTAATAAGGGATTTTTCCCCAAAGTGAGCTTAAAACAAAAACTATTTTGCAAATTGGTTGTGTGGCAAAACTATTTACCAAACTAAGCTTCCAGGGTAAAACGTTGTCTGAGACAGCAGTTTATGTACAATTTTTTTTTGTACATAAAAGGCTGTCAGACAGCGTTTTTCTGCTTGACTGCAACACCAGCAGCCAGTAGGCTTTCTTCTCTAATATCTGCCCCATTTCTGCCCCCAACACACCACCCCCAGCCTTCAATAAGCCACCACCCTCAACCACCACCCCCACCACCAACCCCTACCGTCGACCACCACCAACCACCACCTTCCGCCACTTTCGACCACCCTTATGCACTTTGAAGCATTCCAACCACCCCCAACAACACTACAACCACTTCCACCACTAGCCCCAACCTTACCACCACCGTCGACCACCACCAACAGCACTACAACCACCATGAACCACCGCATTAACCACCACGGGCCATCGCTTCTACCCCATTTCTCATTATGGTGCCCAAATGTCTGCTGTTTGATATATATCGGCTTAGAAGGATCTATTTTGACTGACATAAGTCCGATTTGGACAAATAAGGAAATTAAACTTCAAACGACACACAGATTCATTCAAAAAACATTTATTATATTAATAATGTAAGTGTTATATACATCATTCTAGAATATCCGGCTACAACAAATACAATAGATAATACTATCCCGACTCATTTATTCGGGGTGACGGTTCTATATCTTGTCTGTCGTCCCTCCGTCTGACATGCCGCCGCCTATAATGAGTAATGGTGGTGAATGGGTCTCGAGGCGGTGGGGGAGTCTGCTGGCTGGACGATGGGTCCTCCTGGGTACCGCTTGGCACAGTACTGTGGATGATGTAATCCTCTGCGTCTCTAGGTGACGTAGGATCACCTCCACCGCTGCTCTGGCCGAGCTCGAACTGTGAATGGACGGAGTGGCCATCATAACTGTCCCGCTGGTGAAGGAGATAGCTGTGACCATATCTCTATAAGGTAGCGACGCTCATATCTCGCACCCGCTCGACCTGGGCTCTGGTGGGTCCATCTGCAATGGCGACTGATAGTTCATCAACCATCGCCACCATATCCGTCGCCTACAGTAATCATCAATTAGTAAGTTGTATGATATAGAAATTTAAAAATTGAGGACAATAAGTAGAATAAAAGAAACTCACATATTCGCTAATGATGTCATATGCTGGATGGTAATGTGTAGATGGTGGTGTGTAGCTGGGGTTGATGAAACGTCGTGTAATACGCCTGTACTACACCATGTACAGATCGTGAGGATCATTAACGCCCTGCATCGGATCACCTCTAACGACGAATTCCAACCGTTGTTGTCATAGCTCAAGGAAACGCCAATGCTCCAGTGACCAATTTGTCTCCCCTTTTCCCTGACGGTCAATGCCGTGAAGGCGTACACTAGTGTCAGACTGCTGGGGAATAGGCTGGCGTAGTCCAAACTGTCTCATGACTCGGTCGGGTAGGTGACTCTCCACAACCTCGAAATAGATCAGGGGGACCCTAGCACGCCACTCCACCTGATGATCCAGCAGATGTGCAGGCATGACATCAACCAAGTCAGGTACAAACAGATCCCATGTCATCTGCAATAACACAGCAACAGTAATATCATGAATAGGTTAGTCCACAGACAGTATACACAGTACATAAATGTTTACAAGTATCTTTTAAGTTACCACCTGATCCTCGGTGAGTCGGTCTAGGGCATCTCGGTAGTACGGAAGACCCCTCACCGCATGCGCATGTGTGAGTCTGGGGACCACTCACCTATGGCAAAAAATTGTTTTAGTTTGTCATCCAGCAAAATGAAACCGTTGGGGGCAAAAAAGAATGACAAATGTTACAAACCTGCAACCGTACGCCTCATCAGGTGTAGGGAGCGGTGGAGCGATGTACACCTAGTACTGCTCGTCCCGGTCCTGCTGCCCCCGACGATGTACAACAAGCCTACTTGGTCTGCCTACATGGATGTGCTCCCAAGCCCATAACTGTAATACCAAAATACAAAACTATGTTAAGTATAACGTAAGTCATTGCCAAACTAGCTTGTGGATAATTAGGTGGGTTACCTGAAGCACAATCAAAGGTCCTCCGATCTCGACTGAACCACGGTGGGAGGCTATACACAGGTGGCGATACAACGTCGCCAAACAGGCACTACCCCAGCTGTATCCACGAATATGGTCCCAGTCGTGGTTTAGCAGCTGTAGGTAAATAAGCTGGATATGGCTCCCGCTCTTGTTGCCGAACAACATGCCCGATATGAGCAGGAACAAGTATGCTCGAGCGTGTCTCTAAACCGTGGCGTCATCAGCGTCCGCAGGCGACGCACGGAAAGTGTCGCGTATCCAGCCGGTCCTCAACCCGGAGCCCCTGATGTCGTCGGGACCTGGCTGAACCCCGAGAACCCGAGCAACCAAACAAGCGGGATCGACTAACGCATGTCCAATCACCGCAGTCCCATGTATAGGATGGCGCGTGAGTATCGCGACATCCCGCAACGTAACGGTCGCCTCCCCAACAGGTAGGTGGAAGGAGTGCGTCTCATGTCTCCATCTCTCCACTAGGGCAGTGACAAGCGCTCGATCGATCTCTCTGAACGCCATCCGATGAATACCACCAAAGCCAGCGTACTCGACGTATGCAATAATGCGTGGATCGACAACCCTATCTACCATAACCCTAGTAGTGTAGTGCCTGCAAACCAGCATCTTCGCTACATCAACCTGAAAAATCATTGTATGACCGTAATTAATATTAGATAGTAAATCAATGTATCAAACAAAAGTACATGAAATAACGGATGAAATATTACCGTCTGGTCCCATATGTCGACGCTCCGATGTTTGTCCTATAGTTACAGGTCAAACACAATACCAACACAATGATCCAAATGCTATCTTCTCCTGTAACGGATGAAATAACAGGTCCGGGTGTCCTATCTTCTCCGTCCATGATATCTGTTCATTGAAAATGTTATATACCAAATACCAACACAATTACTGGATTAGCAATAAAACATAAGCTGGAGAAATTAAAGGCAAAGACAGAAAATTTCAAACGACATCCAAAGTAGAAAATAGAAATGATCCAAATGTTACAAATGTTACAAACTTTAGAAAATCTGATACAAAATAATTCTACTTTCTACTACTACAACAAATAACAAATACAAACTTAGGTCTTATATCGGTCTAGATGGACACGTTGTCTGGTTGTGACCCCCTGCTGGTGACATCGGCTGCATTTGCTCGGGGGACGGTTAGTCTCATCCATTTCATTGTGTATGCACTTTGACCTTAGCCGCCCTTTTCCACGTACCATACTACCGTCAGGAATGAGTTTAGGGCCGACGTACTGCGTCCAGGTTGTCTCGCAGGGGATAAGCCAGAATTGTGGTGCGTAGGTGTTCGTGTAGGCCTCCGATTGCAGCACAGGGTCCACCCACGGTCGCTCTGATAGTGAATACGTCACACAGACTGCTAGAACATGAGAACATGGGAGGTGGAATATCTTTGGTTTGTTGCATGTACACGTTCTCAACTGAAAGTTAACAGTATGTTTATGGCCTCCTTTACTACCAAGTCGCTCTCCCCTTTTGTTGTAACTTGGTAAATATGCAATCAGCGGTTATACGCATCCACTCTATGATATCTGGCTTTTGCGGTGTTCTTCTCTAGAATGGCAGTGACCTTTAGGGGGGGTATGCAAGTCCCTATTCAGACCTAGCCTCAGAAGACTCCCTTCTCAAAGTGAAATACTTGTTAACTCCGTGGAAAGTTAACTCGACAAGGGACATGATCGGTAGAAACTGAGCTCCCTTTAACACATTGTTAAATGTTTCAGAGAAGTTTGTAGTACATATCCTATATCTACGACCAGCGTCGTGAAAGAGAGACCACATAGTGAACGGGACTTGAAAAATATACTCCATGGCCTTGGTACATGCCTCACCGATGAAACACAGATCAGCTTGAAGTTTTCTTTCCTGCCTTTGGTATGCCGCAACCTTGAACATATCTCTCATTTCGTTACTTCGCACGTGAGTCTTCAAGTTAGAAGCTATGTGGCGAACACAAAACCTGTGATAGGCTCGCGACTCGATGAATCCAACGTTAGGATCATTCATTGCTGCAATGATCCCAAGATGTCGATCAGATATAACACAGAGGCCATCTCGTTGCGTGACATGAACCCAAATGCAGCCTAGGAACCAAGACCGGCTGGAAGTGTTTTCCCCTTCAACCACCGCAAATGATAGCGGAAATACTTGGAAGCTTGCATCCACACTTGTAGCAACCAACAGTGTTCCTTTGTACTTCCCGTACAAGTGCGTCCCATCGATACAGATAACAGGCATACAATGTTTAAAACCGTCGATACAAGGACCGAAGGCCCAAAACACTCGTTCAAACACTTCCATGTTGCTATAGTATACACCGTCCACCAGAGCTTTGTGTTTCCATACAACACACGTTCATGGGTTTGACTGTTGGAGTTCTTGCATGAAGTGCGGAAGTTTGCCGTAAGAACTCTCCCAATTCCCAAATATTTCAGCTATTGCTTTCTCCTTGGCATACCATGCTCTACGATACAAAACATCGAAATGAAATTGCTTGAAGATGAGTTCCCGTATGAATTCAAATTTCAAGGAAGAATCTTTCCGCATAAAGGACTTCACATACTCTGATATTATGGACGAATCCAAGTGCGGGTGATCAGTATATAGTACTTCAGTGACACAGTTCTTCCGGTGCGGGCCTTTGTACGTGACTAGGGTAAAGCCACGTGAGTGCTCACTTGATTTGGTACCCCGTAGCATCCAACCACATTTCTTCTTGCACCGCAAATGAAGGACACTCTTATTCGATGTCACTATGGTGTAGAATTGATTCCTCTATATGGAATACATCTTCACCATTTCTTGAAGCATTTTCTTACTTTCAAAATACATCCCCTTCTCAAATTCTCCCCCGGGAACAAACGATGTATGGATACCCGATTCGGCCCAATACTGATCAACTTCATAGTTCTCGTTTACTCGACTGAACCAAGGTACAGGAGTTCTAACTAGGGGCTCGCCAACTTCCATGTGTGCAGGTTCAACATCCATGTTCTGAAGTCCATCTTCCTCCTCTCCGCTCTCGGCCTCATCATTTGTATACACATCATACACAGACAATTCGTTATTCACAATAGTTTCAAGATGATTTGGCACAAGTTGAGACGACGATGCTTGAACATCATCTTGCATAGGCGAATAACTATACAATTGCACCGGTGAAGGTGTGATGGTGTTTGATGCCGAAGGCCCAACTTGGCCGGTCATTGCCACATATGCCTCCCATGTACAGGTGAAGCTATATGAGAATTAAACGGCATGTGAAATTGATCATCATGTAGCATTCGACTGAAAGATCCCATCCCATATTCAATTGATGGAATGTCGTGTGAGGGCACTTAGAAGGGCTCTACGTTATCACCGAAAATATATGTAGATTGTTGTTTTGGCCGAGTACTTTGTTGGGTACATATAGACACCATTTCTACATATATCTCAGTGGGAACACCCTTCATTGTAACAACGCTCCTCAAAGCTTTCAAATGTTTATTCGTAGAAACAGGTAACACTTGAACCCCATTGTCGGTCTCAAACCTCATTTTAATATTTAGTTTAATATTCCTTGGGTTTGAACCAATACTACTATGAACCTCGTTCATCAAATCATTGAAAGTCTTGTTCGGTTCAAGTGTTAGTGGTTCCATATTTCCTCCACTATACTTGACACGGGGTCCATCGAACAAAATTTCACCTCCCCACCGGCATAACAAAACTACATTTTGTGCAGCCATATTCTACATAACAACCAAAACACATTACACTTAAAGGCACTAAATCATCCCTAAATCGCCATAATTTAACAACAATATAAATACTTTTCAAATTAACACAGCTTAGAAGCCCTAAATCAACTTTAATAAACAACAATGTAGGTTATCACAATCACTCAAAAACCAACAATTATCACCCATTATCAACAATTATCAACATTATCAACAATTATCTACACTAACAATTCAACATTTTCAATAATTTTCTACACTAACAATTCAACAATTCAACAATACCAACAATTATCAACACTAACAATTCAACATTATTAAGATTTTAACCACAATTCCAAAAACAAAAAAACTATTAAATAAACCCTACATTTTAAAAACCAAAGAAAGAGAGGACAAGTACCAAAATCGGGGTGATGTGAGGCTACTCGGGGCTGTCGGTGGATGGTGGTTGGCAGGCGGTGGTCGGAGGGTGGCGGCGGTGGTTGGGGGGATTCGGGTTGCTTCACAGAGCTTGAGTGAGAGAGAGATTGGGTTAGGGGATTGAAATGAGGGAATGTAAGGAAGAACAATGGAATGAGAGGAAGAAGACGCTGCTTCTGTTCAGCGATAAAAACGTTGACTGAGGCAGCGTTTCATTAAATAGGTAAAACGCTGCCTCAGACAGCGTTTGACCTTATTTTAATTTTTTTTTCACATTTCCAGCTTAACAGGTTACGAATTTTTTTTTTTTTAAAAAAGTCAAAAAGGTAAAACGCTGTCTCAGACAACATTTTACAAATTGAATTTTTTTAAAAAAAATCAGGGCATTCGGACATCGTTTTACCCTGGAAGCTTAGTTTGGTAAATTATTTTGTCACGTAATCAATTTGCAAAATTCTTATAAAATTAGACTCATTTTGGGGAAAAATCCATTAATAAGCCCAAAAAAATAAAAAATGAACACTTGCCCATCCCCTGAACTAAAAAAAAGCCTGCAACGTAGAAAAAGAAGTTTCCATGATTTCCAAAAGTGGCCCTAATCTCACGTGTCTTTCAATGTCGTTAAGAATTTCGGTAGGGTCAGCCACCTACACACCCACAAACACTCCTCCCTTTCATTCATAACTCCCACACCCTTCATTTTTCCCTTCCTCTTAATTCCCTATTTTCTCTCTCCTACCTCGAACTTGTCGATGGCGCCTCTCAACCTTCGACAATCATCATCACCTGCGCAAACCCTTTCCTCTTCGTCGCAAGATGCGCGTCTTCTCGTCAGGGAAACCATTCGAATCAGCGCCAGTTTAGCCTTTGCTCCTTCGTCGCCTGCCAATTCTCCGCCTGCTATTCCTCCCACTCTTCCTGCTGCTTTGGAGAGCAAGAATTTGAGGCTAGGCCTTGTTGAAGATGAATACATTGATTCTAATTTGAGGTTGATTTGTTGCGAAGAGATCGATGGTCGTCGTTGGAAATATGTTGCTGAGAATGATCCCTTCGGAAATTTTAAAAAGGGCTCTATTCGTTCTGTTTCTTTGCAGACTCCTCTTTCTCCCACTGATGTACGGTTTCATCTCATTTACATATTATTATTATTATTATTTTGATATTGTAAATTTGTGTTTTTTTTAGGTGTAGGCTGTAATTTTGGGTATGGTCAATGGAAATTATTATTGACAAAATAGCTGAGTCTGACCCTTAAACACGTACCTATGATAAATATGAGTACTCGAGGCCGAGTAATATAGTTGGTCATTTGTTTCTTTTTGTTAAATTTTGTTACCATTGTTTTCTTAGTTTATTAGTGATTGTTAGATGATTATTAGTATGTAATATGATTCCCTATGAAATGTCTGATGATTTTGATTTAATGTAGATAGTTTCGGGCTTCCAAGTTGTTTTCTTCTGATTGATTTTATAGTTTCGTTTCTCGGCAAGAGAAAATGAAATATCAATATTTTCATTTATATTTTTTTTTTGTTTGATTGATAATTGTTAATTTGTTTTTCTTCTTGGTCATCCTTGCTTTATTCTGTAACTTCTTATTTGGGAAATTGAATTTGTTCCGAACCTAACTGCTTGGAATTTTATGTGTTTGAATCCATTCCATGTATCATCCTATTTATTTATTATTCAAGGTTAATCATGAGGCATTTAATTTTGGGTTATGACAATTGAATATTTTTTGCTAATGACTTGTGTAACAAAAGCTGCAATAAGTTTCATACTGAGTAGAGAACCGAACTGGAGGTTTTGTATTTTGATGAGCAGGAATTTCTTAACTCAAGGCTGCATTGGAAAATTTTCTCTTATTGCTTCAAAGAGTTTTGTATTTTGATTGATTGCATTTGGTGAATTGATGTTACAATTTGTGAATTTTTTTGTTTTTTTGGGTGCAGGAATTAGTGTCATTTATACGATCCTATGTTGTTCCTGAAGGCTTTCCTGACAGTGTCTCACCTTCATACGTTCCATACATGACATGGAGGGCACTAAAGGTATTTGGAATTTGCAAAGTTGAAAGTTTTTCTACATTGTAGATTGAATTTTGGAGACCTTATTTTCTGTGTTAGAGAGGGTTTTCATTTCTCGATATTGAGGTTTTGCCTGCCAAATCAACTCTTATTTCAAAATCTGTTCTAAGACTTCTGCATATTCTACTTCTACAAAGTTTAATTTTCTTCACTGATCTCACACTAACGGCATAAGGAGCATAGAAATTAAAAAGCTTGTCAAGGAAATAGCCAGCTTTTTTTTTTTCCTTATAAAAAATATATATTAAATATAAGGAAAAATGAAAACTAATAATCCTACCTTTAGCTTGTCTGGTCAAAACAATCCCACCTTTTCGAAATCTGGAAACAATCCCACCCTTGACCTCCATCTGCTCAAAATGAGCCATTTACCGGTTTGTCAAATTAGTAACCCGTTTAAGAAGGTGACTTAACATGTTTCACCTTCTTATTGGCAAAAAAAGGATATTAAAAAAAAATAATAATAAAAAACCCCTTGCCCTTCCCGATCCCTTCCCTTGCCGGACCGACCCACCCCCGGTCGACCCACCTCCCCTTGCCGGAGCCAACTCCATCACCTTTCCGCAATTACCATTCCTTGATTCTCTCCCCTGTCAAAATCTCCCGGTTTCCCCGTTGATGGGGTGGTCGCATGATCGAGGTAAGGGGTTTCGAGTTGAATGGAGTGGTCGGACTTGAGTGAAGTCTCCGATTCAGGTGGGTTTAGGACTAGGGGTTAGGCGGTATTTTGGGGTGGGGTTTTGGTTGGTTTTCGACCTCGATCTTGGAGTTTTGGATGGCTAGGTTGGTTGTGTTTAAGGGGCAGATTTCGTGGGTGATTAGGGTAGTCGGGTTTCAGGGTGGATGGTCAGGGTTTCAGGTTGGTTGGGGTGGTCGACGTTTCAAGGTGGCTGGGGTGGTTGGTGTTAGGGGGTTTTGGGGGTGGTCGGGTTGCTGGGGTCGTGGTTAGTTGTGGTGGGGTGGTTGAGGTTAGGAGAGAGAAAGAAGGTGGTGGAGTTAGGTGGTGATATGGTGGTGCTTATGGAAGGGTGGTGGTGGTTATGGTGGGTAGCTAAGGTGGGAGATGTGAGATTGAAAAAAAAAAATAAAGTAAAAAAAAAAAAAAAAATTAACCTATTAAACAGTTGTAGGTTAAAAGGCTCGTTTTGAGCAGATGGGGGTCAAAGGTGGGATTGTTTTTAGATTTCGAAAAGGTGGGATTGTTTTGAGCAGAAAAGATAAAGGTGGGATTATTAGTTTCCATTTTTCCTAAATAAAATGGGTCACCTCCTTGTTCATATCTTGCCTTAAGCCCCTTCCTTATACACTGGAAACTTTACCATTAAAAATCCCCACTTTATGATGGTTAATGGACCAGCTCATAATGATTTCTCCATTTGAGGGCTTGAGGTGTGATCTTGCTATCTCTGTTGGCAAGCTGTACAGCCTGTACTATTGTTTAATTTAATTGTGACATTAGAGATGCATTATGGGAACCATTTGTATGTCACTAAACTTGTAGTATTTTCTGTAGCATTTCTTTGGTGGAGCTATGGGTGTCTTTACAACACAAACACTGTTGACTTCTGTTGGAGTATCTAGAAGCAGAGCTACTCCTGGTGCTGTTGCTATCAATTGGATCCTTAAGGTAATTTAAACAATTAAATTGAGTTTGAAGTGTTGAATGCTTTGTATTATAATTTATACATATGTATTCTTCCCTATATAGTCTGCCAAAAGCTTTATTTTTACTTGAGTTTATGCTATATATTTGTTTCATTCATCTATTAAGAGTAATTTATTGAGGGCTTCTATTTCGTTTCATTGTACTTATAATCTACCAATATGTCTTTTCGTGGGCATAATTCTATTGCTGAAGTGCACATTCTCTGCTCAGTATATTTACATGCAAGGTATAGATACTGTGCCAAGAATATCATTCTGAATGTCCCAGCCTGGAGGTCTTATCTTTTAAGGCAAACTTTTAGAAATGGGCTGTATAAGAACAAACATTTTTACAGAATCTAGTATAGGAAATAGTGTATTCTTCTGGCTGTTCTGTTTCAAAATCAATAGATTTGTCATGCATGACCCTTTGGTTGGGAGAGATTTGCTTATTTATGTTAATATGTTGGACTCTATAATCTTAGTAATTCGCAATTAATTACTCTGTTTTTATTATCGAATTTGATTGACAAAGGCCAAGAAATAAGCATATATAATCTGAGAGGCAAGTGCCTCTAGTATGAGCACCCTCATCATTGTTAGTCTTGTAGATGTGTGGTTGAAAAAAAAAGTTCTCTTTAATTTTGGCTATATTTAGTTCACCTTATTTTTGCACATCAGACTTGATCTGAAAATATTTTTCTGATTTGATATGTTTTGAAATTATGTTTTTGATTGCCTGATTCAACTAAACTTTGACTTGATATGTACGCTAATCCATAAGGAAGACAATGTATCAAATGAGGTCTTATTAGATTTGTATTAATGTGCCTTTTCCAATTATGTAATTATCATGATTCTTTTCATTACAAAACTATTATGTTCAGCGATAAAAATTTGCTAAAAAAGAAAAAAAAAAAAAAGATAAGGTAATAAATTTTACTAATTTGAACTTGTGATCTAATCTGAAATAAGTAATATTGTATTAAAATAGGATGAATAAACAGAGCCAACTACCTATTACTTTGAAGTAACTCGGCCTTTTGTAGTTTATACAAGTTTGTAGTTCCTTGTGAATTTGGGACATTAATCTTGAAATATTTTTCTATAATTTTTTTAAGAGAATCACAGGGGTCTTTATTGATACAATTGTAATGTGTAGGATGGTGCTGGCCGGGTTGGAAAAATGCTCTTTGCTCGACAAGGAAAGAAATTTGACTATGATTTGAAGCAAGTAGGTATCTCTCCCTTTTCCGTCTGTTTTGTGTGTAATTGTGACAATATTCTTTGCTTTCATGTGATCAATTAATTCTTTCAGCTTAGATTCTCTGGTGATCTATTGATGGAATTGGGAGCTGGGATAGAGCTGGCAACTGCTGCAATGCCAAATTTGTTTCTGCCTTTGGCTTGTGCTGCCAATGTAGCTAAGGTTAGATTAGATACTCAGGATACACTTGCTACTTTGTTCTTCTACAAAAAAATAACTTGTGAATTGGCTGAATTGGATTTGTAGTCTATTATTGCATAGATGTCTGTCTTCACGCATATAATTGCACTTTTGTACATGCAGATTGATTGTTATGAGTCGTTAGTGAAGCAAATTAGTTATTTTTTATCTAACTTTGCTGGCTAAACTTGAACCTTTCAATCTTGTGCAGTTTATAACATGTTTGATTTACTGTTAGGGATACAATTGAAAATTGATAGAGCTACTTTGATTATTTCCTCTGTTTAGTTCTCATAGCTGCAATCATGCAATTTGTGCTGATAGTGCAAGGAGTCTAGATTGTCTAGTTTGCACATTGAACCTGTTGGTGCTTGTTAAACATAGTGAATAATTATCTGAGCCAATACTTCTTTGTTTGGCTACTCTGCATTACTTTTCTCTTATTTGTCTTGATGGAGGCCATTTGTATGCCTGTTATTTCTTTCTATGCCATGGCTAATCTTTTTAATCTGCTTGTCTGCCTGACAGAATGTTGGTGCTGTTACTTCAACATCTACTCGTACTCCAATTTACAAAGCATTTGCTAAGGGTGAGAATATTGGAGATGTTACTGCTAAAGGCGAATGTGTTGGCAACATTGCAGATCTGGTATGCTTTGTGCTGTGGTTCTTTTTAATGCTTCTCGCTCTTTATTAATCAGAAGAATGGGAATATGCTCCAGTTGGTCCTTTTTAGAGATATGAATGCGAAATTTATCTTTGTCGTAATGCCTGCAGTTTGTTACTTATGCTATTCTTTGATATCTTTTTGTTTTGCTTTAAGATTTCAATTTGTTTTATAAAATTACAGCATACACTAGCTCATGTTGTGCAAATTGATCTATTATATTCTCCTGTATCAAGCGTCGGATAAACCTCTTTGAATAACTCTATGAGCTTTATCGTATTTTACAAAGAGATTATGTTCAACTCAGGGGAGCAGCAACATTCTATAAAATTCCATGTAGATAGAAACCTGATATAGTGTCTCAAATATACTTAAAAATTAGCAGCTATGAAAAGTCTTGCTGCATGAGCCTAAAAGTGGAGCCATGAGAATTTTATGTGGACAAAATTATTGGATAATTAATGTTCAAGTTATTATGTAACTATTAACACCATACAACTAAAGGAACAACATACGGTGCATGCATCGGAAAAAAGCGCATAAGCGCACACCTTTTGTAGCTTGTGCCTGCGCCTTAGGCGCGCTTGTGACGAAAGTGGAGAAAAAGAAGGGGGGAGGTAGTAGGGGTGTTAGTGGTGGTGGTGAAGTAGGAAGGAGAGGAGAGAGAAAAGGAACGGGTTTTTCGACTATGGGTGCCATTTCAGTTTGTTGAAGGTGAGTTTACATTGAAAGAAAATTATGGTTTGAACTTGATGAGAAAGATAAAGAGTTTGATTAGGAGCATATTAGGAAAATCAATGGGTCGTTTAAGTAAGGCGATGAATGACACCACCATAAAGTAAGGGTGCTATATATATTAAACATGCAAAAGTTTTACCTTATATCGTGGCTTAAGGCATGGAGAAGGATGTCTTTGGACTATGAAGCCTAGAGTATTGCGTTATTTTGAAGGCTTATTAATGTAAACAACTTGTTTTGATACAAGTTTGGGAACAGAAGGAAGGGTAGGGAGAAGAGGGGAGAGAAAAGAAGTAGAAAATTATCTCCGTTGTTTGGAATTATCTCTGTTGTTCTGCTCCTTTGCTATTCATTGCAAGATCTTTTGTTGCCTCCACACAATCACCAACCTCAACTTATATTACTCTCCACCTTTAGTAACATCTAAGATCCTTAGCCTTCGCATACTTTCCACCTTTAGTAACATCTAAGACCCTTAGCCTTCGCCACCCCACAACTTACTTCTATCTTTTCCTCAAAGATATTCACCCCTTTGCCATAAATACATAGTTGTTAATTTTAAAAACATGATTGAAGGTGGTGGTGAGTTTAAAATCTCTAATTTTAGGATAGAGAAAATTATATATTCCAAATATCAATCTTGAGATATACGTGTCTTAAGTTATGAAACTTTAAATTCCCCCTCTCCCCCCCCCCCAAAAAAAAAAAGTTGTGCAACAATGTTTGCGTAAAGTTTTCAAAAGAGGCTTTAACAATCCACCAACAACCTTAAGCACCAATTTCCATTTTGCTCCGGTTGCAATTCCCTCTTATTGCCATCCGTCCCACGACTTCCGAGCCCATCCTTACCTAGCAAAGAAGAAGGAAAGTGGGATAAGAGAGAAGAATGCGTGTGAAGGAAGATCAACCTTGTTTGAGAAAGATGATTTCTATAATGGAGCTTTACACTATGTTTGGATTGAAGGAAATGGAGGAAAAGGAAGGGAAGGAAAGGAAAATGAAGGGATAAATTATCTTTCATTTGGATAACAAATGAGGAAAGAAGGAAATTAGAGGGGAGAGGAATGGAGGGGTTAAGTTGTAAGAAATTAATCCAAACACACTGTTAAAGTTTGGTCATGGAGGGGGGAGAGAATGAAAAAGCCTACAAGGTTTAATTTTTAAGATTGAATAAGGAGGAATATGTGATGCTTGTTTAAAGATTTAGAGTCGTCTAAGTTAAGCCCTAGATCTCTATAAATTGACGGTTATCTTCAAATGAAAATGAAACTTACGGTATCCTTGACTTGCAAAGCACATGCAAGAAGCCTATAAATCTAGGTATGCATCTCCGTGCAAAGGTGTCTCCAATTTTGAGCCCTATCTCTTGGATATGTATCAGTACAGCCTTCGGAGCAAAATCAGCCTTTGAAGTTTGAGAAAGAACGATTTAGATAATGGAGCTTTTTAACTTTGAGTAAGGGGATTCAGTAAAAAGAAAAGTCTGATGTGTGTTTGAATTTTATAATTATTAAAGTTATTCCTTGCTCTATTTAAAATTGAACTTCAATTAAAAGTGAAACTAACACTATCCTTGGCTTGCAATTTTGCAAAGCACATGCAAGATGCCTATAAAATTAAGGTATGCATGTCCCTAGTGTCTGAAATTTTGAGCCCTAACATATCTCTTGGATATGTAATTATGTATCAGTTCAACCATACCTGTGGCTGAATAACATTAAAGTTTCAGCTATGGTAGAAGACAAAGATAACTTTGCATTCTGCATCCTTCAAGCAGTATGCCTGTGGTAACAACATGAGCCAGCTGTCTTTATCTCATGGGGGAGGCAATGCTCTAGAGTAGACTAACTTCACATAAGGATTCTATCTTTTCTTTCTCCTCTTCAACTAATATGAAAGATTTGTTCCCTTGTGCCGATCATGCTCTTTTTTTTTTTCTTTTTTTTTTTAATGAAAAAGTCAATTTAGGAACTAATTGGCTCACAGAAAAGAAAAGAAAAAGAACAATAAAGGGAAATAAAAATAAAAAATAAAAACATATACAAGAACATAAAATAAGATAAAGGAAAAGAAACAAGAAAGAGAAGTGAATACTTGTGTTTAATTTGAGTGGAAAAAAAATGATTGTTTTCTTATATTATGTTTGGTAATATAAATATAAAAACAAAAATACAATTGCCTTTCTCCAATTTTATCTACCTCAAATTCATTCACAACCTAGCTGCTCTCTACATTGTCTCCCCCATGGTCTCACCAAAAGTCACTCAACCCACCCATCATCTTTACTTATTTTCTCCCTAGCTTCTCATCCACCCAACCTTTTCTCTTATGCCCACTACCACTGATTGTTTCATTCTTTGTGGTCCATTGTAACCATTGCCATATCCTAATCGACAACCTCGACACAATCCAATTTTAGCAAGAACATGAAGCTGGTATTCTCTCATAGACTTTTTACGCCAATCATGTGTTTAGTTTATTGCAGTATGCTCTTGAGAACAAGGGTTTGGATAGTTCTCTTAAAGATCTCTTAACTTTTGAAATTCTCACTCAATGAGCATAGATGTAGATTTGATTGCAATACATTTGTGTTATTGTATTTATGAATGGTGTATGCCACTTTCTTTTTTTGTTTTTGCTATTGCACAAATCTTCTTATTGTTAGTTGATGATAAACAAATGATTGCTATGCAGTTGGGAACTGGACTGAGCATCATGCTTTCGAAAAGGAACCCATCTTTGGTTACAACATTTGCCTTTCTTTCATGTGGTTATGTTCTGAGTTCTTATCAAGAGGTTTGGTGGCTTTCCTAGCTCATTTTTGTCCTTCTGTCTCGTAAATTAGAATTTAAATGTGCTCACAGTATAATTTTGGCTTTCTAACAGGTGAAGTCTGTTGTACTACACACGCTGAACAGGGCAAGATTTACTGTGGCAGTGGATTCTTTCCTTAAAACTGGTATGAATTAGTCATGCTGTTTTGTTTTTATAATTTGGTTCAAGTATGTACTTTGTATTACTCAAAAAACTTGTTCAACCTAATCACTACCAAGTTCCATCAAACCTCCTAGTAAGGTCCCACTGGCACAAGAGAGAGAAAATGCAGCTCCATAATTAACTGTTATGACTATGCATTATTGCATTAGAATGTACAACCAGCAATTATCACTATCTGTAATCACGAATCTTTCACTTTTTCCAAGTATGATTATAGTGGGAACTTACGCAAATACGGCCGGAAGATGTCGTTCATTAAAGATTGGAAGGTAGCCGGGGCGTTAGTTTGCCAAAAAGGCATCACGAGAAACTTGTAATGACCCTCGTGAGTCTGAAAGGCAGTCCTGTGAGTGTCTTTGGGTTTGACTCGAATTTGGTGATACCCCGATTTAAGATCAAGCTTGGAAAAAATTCTTGCACCATGTAACTCGTCAAGGAGTTCATTAATCACCGGGAATTGGGTACTTGTCCTTTACTGTCTCCTTGTTAAGTGCTCGGTAGTAGACACAAAATCGCCACGATCAATCCTTCTTGACTAACAACACCGGACTAGAAAACGGACTAGTAGAAGGGACGATGATGCCGACTTTCAACATCTCCTTAATAAGCCGCTCGATCTCATCTTTCTGAATTTGGGGGTATCGATACGACCTAACGCTTATGGGGTTGCTCCCCTCTTTGAGGGTTATTGCGTGCTCATCGCCACGTTGGGGTGGCATCTCCCTGTCATGTCAAACATGCTGCCATACTCCTTCAAAATAGGTGGAGCTACTATCGCTCGACTTCTTCCCCTTCCATCTGATTTATCTCCACCAACACCCCACTTCCTTCTTTACTGATGGTGCGAATCATAGCTTTCAAAGAAATTTGGGATTTTTCCAAGCTGGGTACCCACCAGTGTCACCAGTGGCTATAGCAAATCGCATTATGTGAGTTCACCAATTTGTAGTGCCTGATCCTAACTTCTCGAGCCACTGAACTCCCAAAATTAACTCGGCATTTCCCAAACTCATGGGCAAGAAATCATCCAGTATCGTCACCTCTTCCGCCAATCTCACCCTCACCCCTCCGCATACTCCCCGGCCTCGCACCATGTCACCGTTACCCAACGATACTCCAAACTCGCCTCCCTCAACCATTTTTGCTCCTCCACGACCGCGGTGGAGATGAAATTGTGAGTCGCCCCGGGATCAACCATCACAACCACCCTCTCCCTGCACCACCCCTCGAAGTTTCATCGTTTTCGGGTTTGGAATACCCACTATGGAGCATAGAGAAACTCCCCGTGACTCAAAATCCACCAACTCGTCTTCGGCAGAATCGCCCCCAATTTTGCCTTCCTCCTCTTCGCCGCCGCTTCCAGCCACCATGAGGACACTCATCTCCTTCTTTTTGCACCGGTATCCCACCCCCCACCGTTTATCGCACCGAAAACAGAGCCCCTTTGTTCTCCTTTCCAGGTATTTCGATTCGATAATGGTATCATTCGAATTTTTTTGGGTTGAGTTGCTCGTATTTTTAGCCATATTGACTGAGGTTTGTGATTCAGTTGGCTTGGACCAACTTTTGGACAGTCCACTTTGGTTGGCAAGCCGTAAGTGCTTATTAGCCTAGGCCCATTTCCTTTGCTAGGGCTTGTTGGAAGTGATTTGGGTTGGCCCAAACCGTGAGTCCGAATATCCCTTTATTTCCTAGCCGAACCCAATTTTTTTCTTCAATTCGACCTGCCATCTCCATAGCCCGCTCTGGATTGGGTGGGTTTAGGAGCCTCAACTCCGTTTTAATTTCGCTCCTCAAACCGTTGATAAATTGACCCATCATTTGGCTCAGAGGTATATCTTCAAGTGGTGCGGCCAACATGATGTAACGGCGACAGTATTCCTGCACGGTTCTTTCTTGAACTACCGCCAGCCTCGTGCAATGTGCTGAAGTGGGATGGTCGATTCATTGAGCACCCAGATCCATCCACCCCCTTAGCGATCGCCGCTTTTGCTCCCATTGGTACCACTTCAACGCCATCCCATCCATCACCACATCCGCCGCCTCCATCTTCTCCCTCTCTATCAATTGGTAAAATTCAAAATATATATCAGCCCTCATAATCCAGTTATCGAGGTCTACGCCTTCGAAAACCGGCATTTCCAACTTCCGGTGTTTCCAATGGCCTCCGCTACCGCTGTCGCCACCTCCATCATGTTCCCTTGGCCAGCCTCCGCTGCGCCAGCCACCGTTGTCTGGCGGAGTCGGTTCTTCAAAATTCCTCCATCCAACCAGACTTGGCACCCTCTCCTCTTCGTTGTACCAGCGGAGGAGTACGCGGTTGTTGTGGTTGAGTCCATTTCACGGCTTTCAACTCATCCCGCAACTTGTCAATTTTTCCCCGATCTACAATGGCTTGTGTTTTCATGTTGACACGAAAACGATCCATACGGACCTTCCACTTGGTGGTGGTGGTTGCCATTACCTCTTCTATTTTTTTTCTCTCCTCCTCCGTGGCTGCCTTAACAGCCGCTTCTACCACTCGAGTGAGCGAGTCCTCTTGGGTGTTCAGTTTCCCATCAATGGCTGCAATTTGGCCTTCCAGACCCGTGAGCCTTTCCTCCACGGTGTCCAGCCTTTGCGTGGTGTTCGATACCATGATCGTGGCTGCTTTGATACCAAGTTTGCTAAGGACTGATTTTCTGGTTTGGTGTTTTGTAAAATAATTGAACAATGAGATTGAAGGAAGGTTGGAAGTTTGATTGAATATGAGTCAAATGTTACAAGATAAGTAATAGCTTGAGGCTATTAGTCTCTAAGAGTAACTTTAGGCTACTAAGCTCATACAAAAGTCTAATTCATCAAAAGCATACCCTTCCCATTGTCTTCCCCTTCCCTATATATTACAACTTACTACATGGAGAGTTGACCACAAAAGTCAGTCACTCTTTTCATTATACTATTTGTCTTTTACTAATAAAAGTTAAACATTAGAAAATGAAAGTTAAAACATTAGAACTTCAAGCTGTCTTGTTACTTCTTAAGGATGCTTCACAATTCACATGTCTTCCTTGGTTGTTGTTGTCCTGCTGCCTCTTGTTCCTCCTAGTGTAGGTTCGGATTGCTGGTACAAGTGGGCTTGGGCCACTTGGGTCCATTTCAATACCTTTTTGAATTTTTCTACTGCTGCTTCTCTTTTGAATACGCCTCACAAACCCCAGAATACATTGCTTTACTTGACATGCCAGTCCAGCTTTTCAGCTCCAGTCAGCTCTTCAGACATCTCATCACTCCTGCCACAAACCAGACACACCTTGTCCACAGAGTCCAGTCTTGAACTACTTTCATTTGTAGCCTTTGTTGGACAAGCATCCAACTAATTATTCTGTGCTTTTGTTATAGTCATCCTGTTCCATATAGCTCTATACCATTGCACCAGAATTGTTTTATTAGCTTCCTGTAGACATCCTTAACAGAGTAAGACCTGAGTAGTCAGAAGGCATTTATATCATTGAAATCTCTCAACTGTCTCAATAGCTCTTCGATAGAACATTATTTTTTTCCAGCTCCATCCACTTTCAGGCTTGGGACGGTACTATCACTCGTCATGATCCTTATGTAGATGGCATTGACCCATCAAAAATCACATTGAATCTTGCTTGGTGGCAATGGCCTGCACATAATTTTCAAGGGCTGCAATATTCCAGGCTTGATTTTTTGTAATTCTGAGTCCACCTTTTTTTTTTTTTTTTTTGATAAGTCCAAACCTCTGACCAGGCAACATACCCAGGCTTTGAACAAAAAAGTAAGCACCTTGCCATAAGAATACAATTACAGAATCAATGTTTCTATCACATGTTTAGGAAAACAAATACCTGTGCTCAGTAAACGTGAAGCCTCATGAGCTCTAAGTTTTTATGTTGAATTGCAGCAAATTATATCTATAAGACTATAACCCTACACTCTAATCCTACCCATCAGCTAATCCACCTAGTGACCAAGCACTTAGGCCTTGTTTAGTAACAAGCTGATATCTAACATTAGCTGTTAGGTTATTGTATCAGCTGTTTTTGACTTTCTGATTGTGTTTGGTAAATGTTGGTTAGCTTATAGTATCTTAGTGTGTAAAATGACCCATAATGACATCAACATAATTTGTTTTTGAATTGTTTAGCTTATTTTATTTTATTATCTATTATTTTTATTTTTTTGTTATTGATATAGACTTGTATGGAAATATATTAGTCTGATGATATGTATTGATAAAATTATGTACCACATTCATTTATATTTTATCATTCATATTTTAAAAATAAGAAATCACTTTTTTCAGTGAATAAAAGGGGACATATTTAAGATTAACTCGTTAAATTCTTACTCCGTATATAAAAGGAAGAAATAAAAAATGTCATTCCCTATCATTCACTTCCTTGAGATTTTTTAACCACATACTTTCCTAAGCATGTATATTCTCTCTCCAAAAGAAAAAGTAACTTTTTCTTTTCCGTTTCTCATTTTTTGTAATTCTAAATTATGTACCACATTCATTTATACCTATCCTCTTAAATTTTTAGACCTCTTGGTTATTCTCATGCATGCAAAAAGAATTTGAAAATTATGATTTTTAGTTGTTCTTATAGTATAATTTAGAATTAATTAATTAATTAACTTTCATCTTTTAGGATAAGTTCTCCCCTTTTCTTGATGAATGTATGTATACAATGGTGTAGGTTGAACTTGTTGCTATGGAATTTCATTTGATGTAAAATATTTATGGATTTTTTTGGGGCTGTTAAGGAAATTTCTTTTTCTAATCTTGAAGTATGGATCCAATGGAGGAACAAGATAGATATTTGGATAAACGTGTAATTTTCACCTCAAACCTCCAAATCTCGTTTCAAAACGCTGCTAAAATAAGCTTTTTGGGACCAAACAACTGCTTGCAAAATGATGCTAACCAAATACTAAAATGAGCTGTTTGACTGCTCAAACCACTAATTTTGGCATAACCTCTACTTTTTACCCAAAACACTTCTAACCAAACAGGTCCTTAATGGTTTTCCTGGAAGCATACTTTTGGGATGTTTTATGTATTGTTATGCTAAACTGCAGTTTTTCGATGGTATATCCTTTACTTTATCAAGCAATGGTACAATATTATTTCTAATCATGTATTATGTTCCTGTAGGGCGTGTTCCTTCTCTGAAAGAAGGAAATTTAAAGGAAAGTGTTTTTTCATTTCCATGGGTACATGATAGCTCCGTTCAACTTGGTATGATGAATCTTCATAATTTATAGTTTTTGTCCCTGTAATTTTCCAACTTATGGTGGAAACTTGAGCTGTCGAATTTGACAGGCTGTAAATTCAAGGATGCATTCCAAGATCCAGGTTTATATATTGCACTAGAGCCCCTCTTTGAGGTACATATTACAAGGATCTTGGTCTTAATGCACTTTTTCTGTGTGGATGATTTGTTTAATTATTTGAACATATTAGTTTTTTCGACTTCTTTTGACCCACTTTCTCAATTACTTTTGTGTAGAGGGAGAGATATGTGGTGACCTACAATCCTGTAAAGAACAAAGTATGTGCATTGCTCAAGGATCAGGCAAAGCCTGAAGACATCTTAAAAGCCGCATTCCATGTAAGTGACTCTGAGGGTTTCTTTATTGTTGCATTTCTTCGTCCCTCTAGGTATACCTGAAACTAATCTTCTGTAGTTTCACCTCTGCAGGGTTATGTACTTAATTATTCTATTCGATCATCAGTAAAAAAGCAGAGTGCTTCTGGGAAGAATCGTGGGCATGATTACTTAGGCACTATAGCCATGCCTGGAAACATTGAGTCTCTTGTGGCTGAATCCTGCAAGATGGTTTCATCTACATATGGCCTGTTCAAATATAAAGCTGCTGAACAGGTAACTTGGAAGGAAACTTTGTCTTAATATATTGTGTTATCTGTTTCTATTACTTTTATTGGATTAAGAGCATTTATTACATTTATATGTTGTTGAGCACTTATATTTCTCTTGCTTTTACTTCTGACTTCTGTCAAATTTTCTCTGCTGCTTCATACATGCAATTGTGCTCTAAGGATGTGTTTGGTCTCTCATGATGCGTAGTTTCATTGTAGAATCTTATATGGAACTTCTGGTTCATTTTGGTGTATGGGTGACAAAAATCTTAAAAGTTCTAGAATTTGTTTGTGTTTCCCTGATAATTTTAATTTGTGTCTCTTAGTTGGCTTTGCGTAGGATATAATTTCTTGTAAGATATTTAAAAATTTCAAATTGAAGGAAATTCAGTTTATTATTTAATAGCATCCCATAATGGCAGTGAAAAGTGATGTGTGCGTAGTGCTTGTTACTCTGTGAGTTGTTACCCCTACCCTATTTTAATTGCTTCGGACATTGATTGGTAGCTTTTATCTATGACAGGGATGGGTAATGTCCGAATCACTTCTTAATCCTGGGCGTGCCCGGTTGTGTCCAGAATAAGGTTAAACCACTTGTTTCATGTGATGGAAACTAATTGAAATCTTGGCTCGGAATAAACCTTGTCATGATAATGGATGCTTGCATGACATAAAGAAGTCCTCATTGGTCATGACCAAGGTTCAGGTAGAATCTGTTGCTGCTAACATGGTGATTGATGTTGCAACCTATATAATGGGTTGTCTTGGGGATATGGTTGTGATCTGTTGGAAGTTTGATCTTTCTGATCTAGTGGAAGTTCGTAGATTTCCACATTTCAATATTTAGATGTGAGGCCTAAAAGCAGCAATATGGTTACGAAAGCTGTTTTAGAATGTATATTTTTTAAGCTTGTCTTTCCCCCTCATTGTATCTATTGCTTAGTTTGGTAGTAATCAGCTGTGTTCGAATGTAATACACAAAGATGTTGCTGGAGGGTGGGAGGGCGCACGATTTTGACAGTGCTGAAAGTTACGACTTTTAAGGTAGACATTTTGGATTGGCTTTTCTTTTTAAGGAGAATGGTGATACATGTTTGTCTACTTCCAACATGAAGCAATTGTAAAGAACGATCAAGATGGAAAATGGGAATAACGGGAATAAGGAATGTAAGCTATTTTAATATTTATACAACCAATTTTTGATTCCTGTTCTGTTGCTTTCAGTCCAGTCTATATACTTTGGTAAGGATAATGGAGTTTATCAATTTGTTTACAGCCCTTTGATTGGTAGGCATTGAAAATACAGTGAATTAGTTTGGGTTCTCTTTAAAGATGCAGTTTTATCTTCCATGGATATAAATTTGTCTCAAGTGTAAAGTAAAGTAATTCCAATACAATGCAAATTTAATAAATCCTCGTTCGGCTAAAAATTAGAGCATTTCTACAGTAAGTTTATTGTGAAATAAGCTTTCATTGTCACATAGGATTTTAAGCTAATTCTCTTTGTAGCTATATTGTGCCTAAATGGTTAGTTAATGGCTTGCTATTTTAATAATCTTAACCTTTTCGATTTGCTTTAAAAATTTGATTATATTATTAAATTATTTCTAAAAGTTTGGAAACTATCTTCTCAAGGAAATTAGCTTTATATTTGCCAAGCTGATTGTATTTTTTAGCTTCAATGGTCTATCTAATAGTTAGAAGCTTTTGAAAATAGTAAGCAAGTCCCTAACTACAACCATTAGAGTTGCTATTAGGTGTATTTTATTATATTTTTTTTTATTTTTGTTTAGACCCAATTATTATTATTTTATTTATTTATTTATTTCTTTATTTATTTATTTTTGTTATAGCTTATCTTTTGGGTAAAATTGATAAAAATAATCTCAATTTTCATGTATTCTCTTTATATAATCCCAATTATCGATTATTTTGAAAAAATTCAAACATTGAGGTATATTCGCTTTTATTAGTCCCAAATGAATGATAACCCGATAAACAATTTTTTTTTTTTTTTTTTTTTTTTGGTTTAATATACATGGGTCAACATGCAATTAGTCTAAAATAAAATAAAATAATAAATAAAAACATTTAAAAACACCAGCCATGCCACTTCCCACCCCCACCTCCGGTAGCTCCACACTCCCACTCCCACCCCCATCACCGGAACCGCTCACTGTCACCCAACTCATCCCCATCAACGTAACTCATCAAGCAGCCTCTTGTCTTCCACCTCACGCACCAACATCAATTGCAGCAAATTTGGCACGAATTAGCAGCATCAGTAGCAACCTCTGCCGCACCCGCGACCCGGACAGCTTGAAGCTACCCTTACCCCTTGAAAATCACCACCCTCCCCTTTCCCCTATCCCTCTCCTCTTCCCTAGCCTTGAAATACTTCTTTAAGGAGGTTTTTGGGGCTGGGGAGTGGGAGGGGTGGGGTTTCACAGTTGGGCAAGGGGAAGGGGTGCGGTTTCGGGGCTAAGGAAAGAGAGGAGGTGGGTTTCGTGGCTGGGGACGGCGGTTGCTTTGGGGGTTGGGGTTGGGGGCGAGGAAATGGTGGGTTGTCGCTTACCGGAGGTGGGGTTGGGTGTTTTGGTTATTTATTGTTTTTGTCATTTGGCCTATTAATTATTAAAAGAAATCTCCCCCTGAAATTGGGATTGTTCAAGCTAAGAATAATTAACAGTTGAAATTTTACGTAAATGACTCAATATTAGAATTATTAAAACCAATTTTTTTTTTTTTTCATAAGATCATGTTTGCAAATATTATATTTATTCATTACATTTATACTACATTATTTAAATCGTGATAAAAGCACATCCGATTTCTAATTATTCAAAGAGAAGCCACACCCAAGAATTCTTGCGGCAAGTATATATGATGTGTAGTATTTGGTGGAGAATATGCATTACTTGATAGAGGATATGTACAACTTGTTAGAGGATATGTGTTATTTGATAGAGGATACATACGGTTTGTTGGGGATATATATTATTTAGAGGATACATATCAATTTATCTTTGATAGATGATAAGTACAATTTTTTAGAGGATATGTGTTATTTGGTAGTATATATGATATGTAGTGGTGGAGGATATGTGTTATTTGATAGAGGATAGATACAGTTTGTTAGAATATGTAGTATTTGGTGGAGGATATGTATTATTTGATAGAGGATATGTAAAACTTGTTGGAGAATATTTGTTATTTGATAGAGGATACGTACAGTTTATTGGGGGGATATATATTATTTGTTGGAGGATACGTACAGTTTGTTGTCATACAAAATATTGGGTGCGGTTTGCCGAACTAATAATTATTCAAAATAACAATAATGTAGTCAAAAATAAAACTTGTAAACATAACAAAATTTAAGGAGGAATCCTACAAATATGTGGAGAATAATATCTCTTGATATTATTTCTTGATATCACTGAATTATCATTTGAAATCCCTTTGATTATGTAAATATTTAGGTGTATATAATCCCTTTGATTATGTAAATATCATTTGACAACGTTTGCTTGTGTGGGCTAGGTGGATGTAGTTGGTGGAGGAATTTTAAAGGGAAGAATGTTATGTATTTGTAAATACATAACAATGATTAAAATATTCTAAAAAAATACATGGTAGAGAGAGAAAAGAGGAGAGAGATAGGAAGAGAGAGGTATGTGGTGGACCCTACCTATTTTTTGGCCAGATTGTCTCACGTGATGGGGGACCACATGCTGATTGTTCTATTGTAAGCTTAAATAGTACTATTGAATCTTCAGTGATACTATTTATGCATAAATTTAGTACAACTGAATGCATATATAGAATCACAGTATGTTCAGTGGTATTATTTGATCATCCAGTGATACAACTCCCGTATATATATGTAATTACATGAATGCCCCTTGTTATGCATTTCTACACGCATAACATTCCTCCATTACTACTTCCTTGCAGTTGGTGTGGGTCGTGAGGTTGAGAAAGAGATAGATGAGAGAGACATGAATGTAAAATGGTGGATTGATGATCAAACTCAATCAAAAAAACTAATTTTCATTTTTTTAATAAATGTATTTTTTAAAAGATAAGAAAAAAAACCTCAAAAAAATGGGTTGGCGAGCCGTGTTGGATTTTACTCACAAATTTATGGGTTTAATCGGATTTGGGGGAAATTTTTTTTTGTACAAAACCCAAAAAAACGAGTCACGTAAAAAATTGACAGGTCTTGTTACAAGCGTATATATAGCCATAAGCAAGGTAAAAATATAATAATTTGCTTATACAATATATGTACATAGGTAGATCACATGATTTTGTATGTATGAAAGCATGTACTACTTATCAAATCAAATGTAGTGACAGTGAGTACTCATTTTTTACTTCTAACACTTCAATTAAATTCTTATAAAAAAAATTGTGTACAATACTACATTATTATTTAATTTTTGTCAAATAAAAGTATTATACAATTTTATTTTTTTTTAATTTTTTTTTATTATTATTAATTTCAATTATGAAAAACTCCTACTATTGTATTATTATTTTAAGGTGCAGATGTTTTAATGTAATCATAATACTACTTGCTCTATTTTTTTCCTTGCAAAACTTTAATTTTTGCTCTATTTATATGATCTACTTTAACTATCTTAAATAAAATTAGTTGTGTAGGATTTCGTTAAATTCATCTATTAATACTGTATCAATATCAGATTTTTTTTTAGTTTTATATATAAGTAATTAAAGATAATAGTAATTGAAATAACGCATTTACAAAAGTGAAATGAGAAATATTACAAGGAAAAAAAAAACAAATATATATTAATACTAGATAAAAGACCGTGCGATGCACGGATTTTTTATACATAAATCTCAAAAAAAAAATAAAAAATACTCCTTATATTTCTTAGTTTGACTGTAAGATTTTATTTTTTTTAAATTATTTGATTCATTTTACTATTTAATAGTTTTTGACCAAAAAAAAAAAAAACAATTGCTATTGCCTATTCAATAAGTCTCAGTTTAAAGATATGTCGTTCATAGGATTATCTTTTAGGTGAAAATATAATTTTTTTTTTGTTTTTAAATAATTTAAATCTTAAATTACTATTCGTCGTTTTCTTACATTTAAAATTAAATTATCAAATCTCATTCGTCGTATTTTGCTTACGTGGCGATTGTATTACCAAAATCACATAACATTATATATTTACTAGATGAAGCTCGTGCAATGCACGGTTTGTTTGTATTTTTTCAAATAAAATATTTTAGTAATATATATTTATTTAATAAACTTTGTGACATTTGCTTGCTTACTACTTAAAATTTTTTTATTATAAAATGAATTATTAACTTTGTTTCTCATATTTAGATAAAATTCGTAATATAAAAAGATAATATTTTATTTCACAAAGTTTCATATGTGGCTGGTCACACCGTGTAGTCAAGATTATTAGGTCAGGAGTTACTTGGTTGGTCAAGGCCTCAAGGGTTACTCAATCGATCAGGGGTTACTCGGACGGTCAGGGATTACTCAATCAATTTTTTGGTGTGTCTCAGCCGGCCACACGATATGACCAGCCACACAAAAAATTAAACGCGCTGATTTTATTTTTATAATTAATATAAAATTTTTGATCTAAAGTAAATTGCAATTATTCTTTTTTTATTGGCTAAAATATAACATATTCCTATGCGACGCTATAAAATTAATCTTATGTGGCATAATCCCAATGTAGCGTTTAAGATTGTTAATCCTATGTGGCGATTTTTTTTTATTATAATCGTACGTAGCGCTTTAAAAAAAAACTAATCTTGCGTTGCAAAATCATATTGTAGCGTTTTAAAAATTTTAATCCTAAGTGGCGCTCTAATAATTTTTTAAAAATTAAAATCCTATGTGGCGCTCTAAAAACTTGGGAAAAAACTCCCCTTTATATATATGTACTAGTACGTGCTCCGGGTATTGCCCTGGATGCCCATTTTATAGAGTGTACTTATTTGTGCACATGTTTTGTATTATTATTATTATTATTATTATTATTATTATTATTATTATTATTATTATTATTATTATTATTAGTAGTAGTAGTATTTATAGTTTTTAAAAATATTAGATAAAAAAAAATAATGATACTTGACTATATTTATAATTATAATTACGCGGTTATTCGTATAGGAGTAAATTTTTTTTGTTAGTTGGATATTCATATTAATTATAATATATGGCGTGTTGATATAAGTAAAATTCTATTGTCAATAAAAAGATAATTTTTTTTTTCGAAAGAATTATAAACTATTTTACGTATACTATTTTATCCTAAACAAATCTATCCAATCTAATCTAACGTGGAATCTAATCTGATTACAATAATATCTATTTGTCCCCTACGTGGCTTGACAATTGGCGAAAAATTAGATTGTCAAGTGTCACTGTCTCGTGGCTTGGATACGAGACCGACTTTATTTATTAGTGATATGATATGATATATTAGATTGATGAGAATATACATTTCTTAGACCATAATCATAAGCTTGACGTCAACTAATCAACATGACAACATTATTATATTGACTAAAAGTCGATGTATCAAACTAACATAAATAATACTACACTACGAGTAATCACTTTTAAAGAGGTAAATTAAAATACAAAGAATAGCCAATAAGAATGCAAGTACTTTAATCTTGTAAAAGATCATGAAATTCATTTTTCATAATCTAGTTCATCACCAAACCCCAAAACCATAGTAATAATTCAAACTATATCACATACATATGATCTCATCTTTAATAATATTATATCTCTTTACATAAAAATACGAAATACAACAACGAAAAAAAATACACACCAAAAAAAATATATAAAAAGGATCACATATTAAAGAAAAAGCCTTCATTAAACATGTTTGATTAGTAATTATATAATAATAAGAAGAATTAATTAAGCAAACTATAAGTAGTAGCTTAACTTATTAAAGATTAAGAGGAGTTGTTGATATCATTATTGTCAATGATCATGTCATTCTTCTTGGCGAAACTATGCTTGTTGTTATGCATCCAAACCTTCAAAACTCTCCTTTTAATCCCAATTTGTTGACAAAATTGTTCCACACCCTCTTGTCTTTGAAATTTCCACCCAACTTTCTCAGCAAATTCCAACATTTTCTCCTTTTGTTCTTGACTAAACTTTGTCCTAAACCTCTTCTTAACCCCTTGATTATGATTATGATTGTAATGATGATTATTATGATAACAAGTAGAAATGTTGTTGATTCCTAATGACCTTGGGACAACTTGCCCTGAAATTGTAGGGTACCCTACACCATTATCCCCCAAAATGACCTTTCTACTCTTATTGTTAAGAAGATGTGGAGTAGTGGAAGAAGGGTAAAATGGGGAATATGAAGAATTATGTGTTGAAATCATCATCATATTCATATTCATATTATGTTCACCTTCAAATTCTTTTCTATGGAAGTTTCTATGACAGTTACAAACAGAACAAATGAGAGACTCAATACTACCTTCTTCACCACTACTTGGCATAAACTCTCCACATCCATCTCTAGCATTTCCTCCCATACATGCTGCATGATTCTTTTGGCATTCTTTGTATCTTACCATCATCATCTTCTTCTTCGTCGCTTTCGTGCTCGAATCATCATCATCGTCGTCATTGTTGTTGTCGTTGTTGTTACAATGTGAATGATTCTGTCCAAGGAGACTATGATCATCTTCATCTATAACCGCGGTAGTAGCCGTAGTAGTGGTTATAGTACTATTAGTTGTAGCACCATTGGAATTGTTTGATGGAAGGATTATGTTGTTGTTATGTTGGTTTTGGGTTGATGATGATGATGGGTCATGGTTATGATGATGATGATGATAGCGATGATGAGCCATGCTACCATGATGGTAACCATGAAATCCAACATAAGCACTATTTATTGGCATTGGGATCTCCACTTCTTCCTCATGACTTAGTTCCATCTTTTTCAATTCAAGGATTTTAAACTAAAAGGATTTTTTTTTTTTGTTTAAAAAAAAGTCTTAAATTCTTAGGCTTGTCTTTAATTCCTTCAATATTTATTGGCATTGGGATCTCCACTCATATTAAAAAATTAAAATAAAAAATTTGAAAAGAAAAAAAAATGGTCCAAGAAGTAATAGAAAAAATTCTATGAAACTCCCTTTTATTTTGGTGTTTTAAACTTCTAATTTATACCATTGCACTACCTAAAAAAGGAAAAAAAAAAAAAGAAAGTATATGGTGTAATTAATTGGTTGACAAAATGCAAGATCTTGTCTTGAATGAAGTATCCAAAAAGGGTAACCTATCACATTAAAGAATAGAGGAAAAACTCCATTTTATCTATTTCTCCGTTACAATGCAAATAGAATAATAAAATTAAAAAATAAATAAAATTATTTCAGTAACATATAGAAGTAGATTTTTCTTTGATGCAAAACTTTAGAGAGGATAAATATTGTATTGTACTTAAAAGAATATGATGGGGAATAAATGTAAAATACGGGCATGCAAAATGAAATGAATATAATAAGATATAGTTTAAAATAAGCTAACTTACATTATATGTATACACTAGTTGCTAAGGATATGAAACAAGAGAGATTTTTTAGAGAGCGTTTTAGAGAAGAAGAAAAGATTTGTGTAGTGAAGCTCAAAAACAGCTGCTAAGCTTAATAGTGTTGCATGAAGTGAAAGGCCTAAAAAGGAGATAGAGATGAGATGAGAGGTTAGCTTTTTAAATTCGTTGTTTATTATTGTCTTTAATTTATACCAAAGTTTCTTAGAAAAGAGGAGAATAGTGATTTTCTATATTGAGGGTGAAAAATAAATAAATAAATAAAAATAAATAAATTGTGTTGCTTTGCTTTACTTGCAAAATCAGATATCAAGTTTACGCCATTTATTTCATCAGGATTGTGTCAGTGAATGGTGGAGAGGACAATAATTATACTTTTATTTCCAATTAATAGAAAATAGATTAGGGATGAGATTTATGCTTAAAGGTTATCTTTTTTACCCATACATATACCTAATCATTGAATTTAAGTTGTTCACACTAAATGGTTGCACGTAATTTAGAAAGCATATACTACATTGGTTAGTGCATAAGCTGAGGTAACTAGAGTCTAGACTAACCAATCTTAAAATCGGGTTAGGACTTATTTGTTTGACATAAAAAAACAATTGAAGTGAGACTCCTTAATTCGTTTTTTTAGGGTTTGATCAAATACTAATCCATACAATTAAGTTTTTAATAAAGAATATCATATGTATCATAAATCATGATGAAAGTTTAAATTATCAATCAAAATTGGGATAAATAAGTAGATATTGAGATATACTCCCTGTATATTTTTTTTCAACATTTTTTATTTTACATTTGTCAATTTATTAGTATTTTAATCACTAATAATATATCTAATTACCAGGCCACTAAGTAAAAACTTTTAAAAGTTGACATCATGTAATGATGTAAATATATATATTCAGGCTAATAACACTATTAGATTTTGAAATTATGAAAATATATCAAAGCAAATAACAAGATCGTACATGATTATATTTTTCTTTAGTTACATATCATCAAAACCAGTTGAAATAGAATATGTGAATACAACAAACACCTCACTTGACAGGTTTCGAACTCCAATAGACCTCGCTTTAAAATATAAAGTAAGAATCTTAATTATTATGTGAGCCAACACTTTAATTTGCTATAAATAATATTCATATATTTAAACACAACAAGTTAAATGTATTAATATCCGTAAAAGGCGATTTGTTTAAGTAACACGCTTTCTACATTTGAAAACTTATACTATTTTAATTTTCATCTTTCTTTTCATGTACAGCCTTTAGCTCCCACTATTATATTGTAATTTATACTTGTATATTATAGATTAATCTTCCTTCATTTATAGTTATTTATTTTTTCATACTCTTTTACCTTTTAATACGAAGGATTAAACTCAATAGGCACTACAAGTTTTTTTCACAATATTTTATCCTTCAAAAAAAAAAAATCCTATTATCATAATATTTTAATCACCCTTATTATTCTCCTGTAGAATTTAGTGTATTACTGTAACAAAATTAGGGAGGGAGGGAGGGAGGGGGGAGGGGGGGGGTGGTGGGAGTAATTCAGTTTGTATATAGATGAGGATTCTACATAAACTAATTTTCTAAAAAGAAACAGTTGCATAAAGATGCTATTGACTACTACCTCCGTTTCCTTTTGCTGTTCTTATTTTGCCTTTTCACCAGTCAAACTTTAAAAATTTTAACCACATATTATCGTCAATATACAAAATATATATAAGTGAAATACTGTTAGATTTGTCTCACGGTGTATTTTTGAATTATTAGTTTTAATATTTTTTAATTCATACTTTAAAAAATTAATAGTCAAATGTAATTGTTAAAAATAATGCAAAGTCAAAACTTAATTAACAAAAGAAAAAATTGAAAGCTAAATGAAGCATAATATCATCATTTAGGAGTTACATGCCATGCGACAAAGAAAATGAAAGGTAAGAAAAGCAACATGCATGAAATTATGAATAATACAACTATAAAATACTATATAAAGATGATAGTTCATTTTTAGCTAAACAAATTAAAGTATAAAGGTGTAGTGGTGGAATTATTTACTAAAATGTGTTGTGGTTGGATTTATAATTCAGACACCAGAATTACTAACTAGGGAATTAGTAAAAATCAAGTAGACTTAAAAGAACAGTAAAAAAGACTCATTTTTATTTTTAAAGTAGTTGTTTTTAAAAAAAAAAAAAATTAATTTTTTAATTTTTAGTTTTTAAGAAGAAATAAATGAGAAAGGGATAGGATGAGGTCCAAAGGGTGTCAGAAAAAATTGAAATGAGAAGATGAGCATGCTTCTGAAGTGTTGGCATTTACTTTAGGTGTTGTAATATCATGAGAGAGATGAGGGGTTACTTAGTAGGAGCATTACTCAATGTGACAATGATGTAATATTATTTGAAAATACAGAGAAATCAGTATGTATTACTACACTCCTTCACATTGGGTTTTTCTCATCAACTCTTTTCACATGAACTTTGCCAGTAGATGATCCCACTTTAAATTAATGCTCTTTTGGTAACATCATGCTGGTATTTTTTTTTTGTTTCATTCTTAAGTTTTTCTATTGGTTGTTGTCTTGTTCGAAAGGAGCTTATACCATTTTATACTTTTTGCCCCTTCTTCATAAGATCGATATTTTAATTTTCATGTTTTCAATAATGTTGTTTTTCATTTTTCGTTAATATTTACATCACTTTGATTGTCACATTTGCTGATATATAACTTTGATCATTTATATGTTTAAGCTATTAGTAAATATTATTAAAAAGTTAAATTATGAACATTGACATTGTAACCAATCCAATGATATATTACATAGTAACATTATTCATTTTCACAAACTTTCATATGTGGCTGGCCACACCATGTGGCAGCCACAAATTTTTATTTTTTATTTTTGTTTTTTTTTTTAATTTTTGAAAGAATGGTTGAGGTTACCTAGTCAAGGGTTACTCGATCGGTCAGGGGTTACACACTCGATCAGGGGTTATTCGATCAGTCAAAGGTTACTCGGTCGGTCAGGGTTACTCGGTTGGTCAGGGGTTACTCAGTCAGTGGTTACTCGGTCGGTCAGGGGTTACCCGTGTGTTAGCTGTGTGGCCAACCACATACAAAAGTTATTGATTCATTTTATAATAAAAATGATAGAATATAAAATATTCTAGGATATTCTGTAAAAGATATACTTTGTGTAAATATGTCAATATTATGATTCTCTTAGAATTAAGATTGTACACCTATCTATATCAATCTAGTGAGAACACTCCAATCAAGAAGATTTACACAATTCTAACATGGTATCAGAGTCTGTGTGGAACAAAGGTCATGGGTTCGAGTCTTATCCACCTCTTCTTTCAAGTGGAATATCTCGCGCTGGGTATGAGGGAGTCCATGCCGCGTCCACATTTCAAGCCCAAAGAACTTTCATGTGAGAGCCGTGATAGAGTATATAAGTCGATTCTGGGCTCACATTGTGTAAATCTCCTTCATTGGAGTGTTCTCATTGGAGTATTTTAAGCAACTTATTTTTTTCCCTAGATTTCCGCATTAACCAAAGCGTCATTTTAAAATTTTTGGAGGGATCGGAGTAGTAATATCAACATTTAAGATTTAAGGATTGGATTCTCAAATCGCAACCAGTGGACGAAGGTAACTTAATATACATCTTCATTTTTATCAAATGTTTAGAAACAAGCAAGTACACATATTCCTTAAAAAAAAAAAAAAAAGCAAGTACACATATTCCCGTTTCAATTCAAACTAAAACTTACTTCATATGCCTAGTTTACCACTATAGTGTGCATAAGATGATATTAATGACATAATCAAGTGAATTTAAGTGCACTAATAATTCTGCAACAATCCTTACTAGTTACTGTAGTATGCACGTAACATATACACTGTGAAAGACAGTTGGCCACTACATAACATGGGATTACACGTTCTGTGACTTCATTTGTACGTTGCCCCCATATCGTCATGCTTCATCCCTTTTACTTCCCTCATTTAGTTTGCCTTGTAAAAAACATACGAGTAGTAGCTACTCTTTCTCTATTTTACTACTATTATGCTATTCCCTCAATTCCTATTTGTTTGCCCCATAAGCAAAATGTGTTTTATTAAGAATTTAACCTAAGTTTACAAGTGGGTGGGGATATCCTTGTCTTTTAAAGTTTTATAAGTGTGTGCAAGTGGAGTTGATGGTGGGTACATAATATCATATAAGGAAATGGAGCAATCTATAAATGAAATATGAGACAAACAAATAGGGATAGAGGGAGTACGAAGTATAAGAATAAGTGAATTACAGAGGCTTTAGATCATTTGGGAATTCATAATTTGGTCGTAGCACATCTATTGTGACATATTTGCTTGTAGTGTTCATAAAAGTACTATTATTAGTTTATTACTCCCTCTATCCCTATATTTTTGCCCCATTTGACTTTTCACGGTCTCTAGCTGTTGGATTTGAGAAGTGTAGAGAACGGTTCAAGAAGACATAGAGATGCATAACTTATAAGCTATGGGTTGACTGCTTGGTATTAAGCAACAGTGAAAGGCAAGGGATGAACTCAAATGAGCATCAAGATTAAGAAACGATATAAAGATGATTCAAGTTAGAGGTGATCGCTCGTCTCATGAGCTTTCCAACGACTAGTCATAAGCTTGAATGGGAAAAGAATTGAGGAAGTTATGGCCGTTTTACGAAGAGCTGTCTACGTAGTGCGGGAGTTTGCCCAAACCTATGAAAGCTTCCCTCGAAACTAAGAGTGGTTCACCTGAACTCAAAGAATAACATCATTTGAAGGCTACTACCATGGAGTTTGCTCGAACTCACATGGAGTTCTCCCGAACCTCTTGCCTCTGTATTCTACGGTTTTGCTACTTAAGTGATGTGGCTTATTTAGGACCATAGAATAGTTTTATTATGCCTTTCACTATATATACTCATGTTTAGTCATTGTATTAGATCAGAGTAAGGGAGAGGATAAGATGAAGGGAAAAAAGTAGAGACAGATAGAGAGTGAGCCTCAAATATAAATGCCCTAACTCTTAAGGTTTGTGGGTGGGAAAGGGTGAGCTTAAGGTGGGAGCTTTCATGGTGCTTTGAAGCTTGTAAACTACATTGTTCTTCATCAAAGT